AAGATCATAAAATGTAAACATTGAAACAACAGCAACAAAGGAAATGATAGGAAAATCTATAAACAAAATGAACTCACACAGAGAAGAAATATAGAACAAAGAAACCATCAACAACAAACACACACAATAAAAGTCACAGATTGCAAAATGACAGTAGAAAATTCATACCTACAGATAATTATGCTAAATGTAAACGGATTAAATGCACCAGTCAAGGAACAGACAGTAACAGAATGGATAAGAAAAATAGACTCATCAATATGCTTTCTACAACAGTCACAAAAACAAAAATAAAGCTAAAAATCAAAGGATGGAAAAAGAACAGGGGTGACAATATTAATTTCTGATACAGTAGACTTTCAGTTATAAACCAGCAAAAGAAGCAAAACAAAACATTATATAATGATTAAAGAGTTAATCCAACAATAGACTAAAACCTTTTATGCAACTAATGAAGAGCCCCAAAAGATGTAAATCAAACTTTAATAGAATTGAAAAAGGAAAACAGACAACTCTACAACAATAGTAGGAAAGTTTCATACACCCTTCTGATGAAGGCCATAAAAACTTGAAAGAAATGCAACCAAGATATAGAAGATCTAAACAACATAATCAACCCAAACCTCATAGACACACACAAAACACTTCATCCATAATATACATTCTTTTTCAGAGCACATCGAACATTCTCCAGAATAAACTACATGTTAGGACACACAGCAATCCTCATTAAATTTAAAAACAAAAATACTATTGGGCATCTTATGAGATTAAGATGCTATGAATTTAAAAATCAACGACAGGAAAATCATGGGAAAAAATACAAATTGACCATTATAATAAAAGCTTAGGAAAAGATATCCATACTAAAAGGAGACAACAAAAATTCTTTGTTGGTTACCAGTGGGGGTGGGGGTTCTTGGGGGAGGGTGGAGAGAGGTGACAGTGGAGCACAGGGTAGGGGGCAGACACATCATAGTTTGGGTGTTGGGGAGGGCAATACACAAGAAGTGGGAGGGGTGGAAGAACAAGGTAGATAGGGGAACACTGAAAGAGGTTTGCATGGGCTAAATG